GAATACCTCATCATATGTTTATTAGTCAGTTTTGTCTTTGTAAAAGTGTGTTTATATGATTTGCACTATTTTATTAGAATACATATTTTAAATAATTTTGTATTATTTTTAAAAATACACTTCATTCTGATCATTAATCACATTATTAATGTCTTCTCTCAGTTATAAATCTCTAAATTTTGCTTTATGTACAGTGTATTTTTAATGATCAAACTGTTCTTAATTTTAATACAGTTACATTTATCAATCTTTTATTTTTACAATCAATATTTTTTTGTGATTTCTAAAAGAAAACTGTCCAAATATACAGACTAAAGATATGCTGATATCTTTTCCTACTAAGAACATTAAAATTCTATTTTTCCCTTTGAAGCTTATATGGTAATGATTCTTATGAATGGTGTGAAGTGGGCTTCCCTGGTAGCTCGAATGGTAAAAAATCTGCCTGTAATGTGGGAGAGGAAGATCCACTGGAGAAGGGAATGGCAACCAACTCCAGTATTCTTGCCTGGACAACTCCATGGACAGAGGATCCTGGTGAGCTACAGTCCATGCGGTCGCAAAAATTTGGATACAACTGAGTGACTAGCACTTTCAGTTTTCATGGTATGAAGGAAAGTCAGTGGTGTGCTACAGCTGACTCATACTAGCTCAGGAAACCTGATTGTTAACCTTTCAGGAGTTTGAGAGTCAAGATGTAAAGATATAAAGATGACTTTACTTTGGTGGTTATTGTTCTTCAGTCACTCAGTCATGTCTGTCTTTGCAACGCAATGGACTGCAGCACGCCAGGCTTCCCTGTCCTTCACCATCTCCCAGAGCCTACTCAAACTCATGTCCATTGAGTTGGTGAGGCCATCCAACTGTCTCATCCTCTGTCATCCCCCTCTCTTCCCACCTTCAATCTTTCCCAGCATCAGGGTCTTTTCTAAGGAGTCGGCTGTTTACATTAGGTGGCCAAAGTATTGGAGCTTCAGCTTCAGCATCAGTCCCTCCAATGAATATTCAGGGTTGATTTCCTTTAGGATTGACTGGTTTGATCTCCTTGCAGTCCAAGGGACTCTCAAGAGTCTTCTTCAACACCGCAGTTCAAAAGCATCAATTCTTTGGCACTTATCCTACTTTATGGCCCAACTCTGACATCCATCCATGACTACTGGAAAAAACCATTAAACTCAATCATGGGTGGAGTATTTGCATTATGGGAATTGTCAAATGCTACAAACAGTGCAAATCAGGGCTTTTTTGTTTTGTTTTGTTTTTAGACAGTTGATTTACCAGCACAGCATTGATAATCTTCTTTATGTGGATAAGCATATTTTCAAGTTCCTTTCATTGAACATCTTGCTTTTCTTCAATAACTTGACATGCTACCTTGTCATAGAATAACATTTCATATAAATATGTGTCTTGGAGCAGGGTATTTTTATTTTATATCTCTGGTCATTTTGTCCATCCAACTACCAACATCATATTGTCTTAATTAGCATATATTAGTATATATAGTATAGTAATATTAGAATATGAAAATTACTAAATTTAGAATACTAAAATTAATCTATACATATAGTACATATAGCTTTACAATAAGCTATTTCCAACTCTCACATCCATACATGACTACTGGAAAAACCATAGCTTTTACTAGATGGACCTCTGTTGGCAAAGTAATGTCTCTGCTTTTTAATATGCTTTCTAGGTTGGTCATAGCTTTTCTTCCAAGGAACAAGTATCTTTTAATTTCATGGGTGCAGAAACCTGTATTCAGGTCAGGAAGCAACAGTTAGAACTGGACATGGAACAACAGACTGGTTCCAAATAGGAAAAGGAGTACGTCAAGACTGTCTCTTGTCACCCTGCTTATTTAACTTATATACAGAGTATATGATGAGAAACGCTGAGTTGGAGGAAGCACAGCTGGAGATTGTACATAAGATTGTACAAGATTGCCCAGAGAAATATCAATAACCTCAGGTATGCAGATGATACTACCCTTATGGCAGAAAGTGAAGAACTAAAGACCCTCTTGATGAAAGTGAAAGAGGAGAGTGAAAAAATTGGCTTAAAGTTCAAAATGGAGGAAACTAAGATCATGGCATCCAGTTCCATCACTTCATGGGAAATAGATGGGGAAACAGTGGAAACAGTGGCTGACTTTATTTTGGGGGGCTCCAAAATCACTGCAGATGGTGATTGCAGCCATGTGACAGAGGATGAGATGGTTGGATGGCATCACCGACTCAATGGACATGGGTTTGGGTGGTGCCGGGAGTTGGTGATGGACAGGGAGGCCTGGTGTGCTGTGGTTCATGGGGTTGCAAAGAGTCGGACACGACTGAGCAACTGAACTGAACTAGGTTGGTCATAGCTTTTCTTCCAATGAGCAAGTGTCTTTTAATTTCGTGGCTGCAGTCACCATCTGCAGTGATTTTTGAGCCCCCCAAAGTAAAGCCTCTCACTGTTTCCATTGTTTCCTCATCTATCTGCCATGACGTGATGGGACCAGGTGCCATGATCTTAGTTTTCTGAATGCTGAGTTTTAAGCCAGCTTTTTCACTGATTAGTTTCGTGTTTTAAATATAGATCTTTTAAAGTTTGTGTCTGATAATTCAAATATCCTGTCTCTGCCTTGAGAAAATGCAGTTCCTTCTGTCTTTTGTTCATGCTGTCTTTTCTTCTGACTAGCTTAGATATGTATTAGGCATTGATTTAAGAATTTTGAAGGCTTATGATGATCTTATCTTCTTCTAAAGAATATGTATATTTGCTATTGCATTTATTTCTATTAGACATATATTGGACCTTCTGTCTGTGTTCTTGATCAATCTGTTTCATGATCCCCATACCTTGTCCCTGTGATACATCATAACATAATTTCCTCAAATCCATAATCTGTTTTACTTATTCTCTATGCAATTATTTTTAACCTGTTGTTAGAGCATTAATTGAGCTTTTAATTTCAATGACTGTGTTTTTCCTTTCTAGAGTTTTATATGATACTTTAAAAATTGTTATTTTTTTGTACTATGTTATATTGATTTAAATAAGATGAATAGTCTCAAATCTTTATTTAACCAAAGAATTCAACAGAATCACAGATATATTGTGTCTTTACAAATAAATGGTAAAAAATGATTTAAAGTTCTTCTGAACTAACAATGAAACCTCAAATAATTTGTCAATTCAAATAGTATTACTTGGAAAAATACATAGAAGTTCATTGAGGTTGCATTTCACAAACACAGCAGAGTAACCTCCAGAATCTGAATGTCTTAAAAGGCTCAGTTATATAAATAACACTTCCAAGAATGTGTTATGAAATAGAGCAGGATTATTCATTTTTATTCAAATCTCCAAACTGGAAAAGAGAATCATTTTGAGATGTTTTTAAAAATGTTCTCAATTTACCTCTTTATCAGAACTAAATTTAAGACATGAAATTGTATCTGTTCCTCTGTATTATACGGGAAGAAGAAACATTTTATTATTATCTTTCTGATATTCCTTTCATTAGCATTTGGGAGGGACTACAGTTTCAAGTCTAAGTGTTGTAACATGGAGGAAGAGATTATGAAATCTCAAGGAAGGAAGATTGATTTTATACCCACAGCCTAGACTAAGGAGCTGCTGGTAATGCTGTTGCCTCCCCATCCAGTGATTCAAAGGGCATATTTTTCTATTATTCTTTAGTGAATGTCAGCCGTTCAGTGATGTGAGGTCTTAGTCCTGTCTCCTTTTCATGCAACCTTGACTGCTCTCCTTACTGGGTTATTAAGCCCTTTGGCTATCAGTGCAGCATGTTATCAAGGGCAGGAATAGTTTGTTTACTTCTCAGTTATAAGTTTCCTCTTTGTTCTTTTGGCTCCTGGATTTTTTTTTTCCTGTTGAGCCAAGTGTGCATTTAACTCTTACTTATTATATTTTTATCTCACATTTTCAGTTGTATTTTAAGAAAATTTCCACATGTTCTGGCCTGCTATAATGAGTGAAATGGAAATGATTTTTCTAAAAAGAACACAGTCATTTAAAAAAAAATAGCTGTTTCATAAGACTATCATATTTTTATGCTTGTTCATTTTTTGTGTGTACATATTTTTGAGAAATTTTTTTAATAAATGGCAATCAGTATCAAAATAGTCACACTCTATCATAATATATGTCATATATTATTTATTATTACTCACATGCAATGGTGTATGTGTATGAAACCTAGAAAGCTCCTGACTTGGAGCTCTATTATTATATTTTTTGGATGCTCCCCTTTTTTTAAAAAATGTTTCCCTTTTATATAAATTTATTGTCAATTTATATTAAAGTTATAAAATCATACATGTTTGTTATTGCTCCAATACTAAGTTTAATACTTGTACTTGGAGTTCCAGCTTGAACCTAAACTGCAGGTTTAGAATTTACCAGTGTTCAGATATTCTAAATGTGTCCATGGTACTGATCATGTTGATCCACTAGGAGCACTTTATAAAGGAAGGACCAGGATCTTCCCGGGAATAACTAAGTGAGGATAGCACCAGAGAAACAGACTGAGGGCTTCCCTGGTGGGTCAGACGGTAAAGAATCTGCCTGGAATGCAGGCGACCTGCGTTCAATCCCTGGCTTGGGAAGATCCCCTGGTGAAGGGCATAGCAACCCACTCCAGTATTCTTGTCTGGAGAATCCCCGTGGAAGAGGAACCTGGTGGGCTACAGCCCATGGGGTCTCGAAGAGTCGGACGTGACTGAGTGACTGAGCATGCACACACACACAACTGAGGTCTATAGTAATGCTGCGATTGTCAGAGATGGTTGAACCTAATCACAGTTCACCATTTGCTACTGAGATTTGCTCCTAAATCAGCACCCCTTTTCCCAAACGTAGGTTTTCATCATAATGTAAGGTGAGAGTAGGCTGAAAATAATTAATAAGAAACTCTTAATTGATGAAGAGTCATTCTCCCACTGACACAAAGAAATTCCAGTAGTATTTGGTTTCTATCCATTACTCACATGATATGAAATGCAAGAGTGAAGAGTGATAGATTCTCTCCACAGTGGCTTTGGTACATTAAGGAACCCAGAAGATACATTATCACTGGTAATTTTGAAGACTCCATTGGGTCAGTCCTGGCAGCAAAGATGTAGCACTCATGCAATGCCCAGGAGGTAGCGTAGCTGAGGAGAGAGGAGAGCATTCAGCAGCAGTAGGTTGTTATTGGCAGCTTAAAGGCCAAGAGTGAGTGTGTCCTGGCTCTAGGATCAGCTTTCTTTAGCTGTAAATGGCTGCAGCCCACTGCCCTCAGCTGTCTTTATGGACAGCAAAAGCCTGGAAAGAACCCTCACTAAAAGGAATGGATCACAAAAGGGGACACAGATGAGACAGAATGTGAACCGGTGTTTGCCAGGGCCTGGGGAGAAATTGATCAATGGGGAAGGAGTTTTACTTTGGAGTGATGGAAATGTTTGAGAACTAGAAAAGGGTGGTGGCTGCACCATACGTGAATGGACTAAATTTCACTGAATTTTTCCCTTTAAAATGGTTAATTTCATGTTGCAAAAATTTCACCTCAATGAATTATTTTAAAAATATAAAAAGGATGCAGATAGAAGATTACTGACCACATGTGACCACCAAAGGACTACATCAGATAATGGATGATTCCTTGATGAGGCTGCAGACCTGGCAATATGATAAATATTAAAAGCTTGAGAAACTTGTTCTTACTTTCAAACTGACCCAGAAATGGCTGCCCTCGGGAAATACGAGGTTCATGCCATTTAAAATATTTTGCTCCCATGTCCTATTGTTTTAGTCTCAATTCTTACATATTGTGACAACATAAATAATGATTAGCATGTATTGAATAACACTTCAAGAATATGCTAAGAGAATAAATTTGTGTGTTTTTCGTGTGTTTTCTGATGGATGAAGAATGATTTGTCCAAGTTCCCCCTCCTTCAAAGAATAAAACAAAAGTAGATATTCATCCAAGATCTTTTCGAAGTTGCTATGGTTAGTTTTGAAACGGGTTGTACAACAACCTGAGAGTCCAGAATTCTTTTCTCTCTGAAGTCAGACTGCTATGACTTTAAAGCACTGAATAACAATTTAGAACATGGAATTTAAACATTTAGAAACAAACGGTATGTGAACATAAGAAATGGTTTCCCTCAGGCAATAGTATCATTTGTCCTGAGCCCATATTTCAAAGCCTCCCTCTAAATCATTGGGGAGTGTTTCTCCCAGAATATAACTTTCCTAAACAAACAAACAAAAAAAGCAATGGCACTTTTCTCTTCCTCATGTTCCTATATGAAGACTAGTTTTTAAAATGAGGGTCATGAACTCCACACTTATAATCTCATATCTGTGGGTGATCCAAACAGTTTTTCAAAATTAAAAAGAAAAAATGAACTTCAAAAGTCCAAAGTTCTGGAAGAACGCTGTAAGTTTATTGTGCATTAACTAGTTGATTTTCTAAGAGATTTTGCCGCCCAAATATGAAATTAGGTTTCCAATGCAGTCTGCAAACTGCAAAATTTCAAGAAGCACACAGCTAATGCCAAAAATTGTTTCATGTTTTTTTCAGGTCAGTTCAGTTCAGTTCAGTCGCTCAGTCATGTCCGACTCCTTGCAACCCCTTGGCCTGCAGCACGCCAGGCCTCTCTGTCCATCACCAACTCCTGAAGTTTACCTAAACTCATGTCCATTGAGTTGGTGATGCCATCCAACCATTTCATCCTCTGTCGTCCCCTCCTCCTCCCACCTTCAATCTTTCCCAGCATCAGGGTCTTTTCAAATGAGTCAGCTCTTCGCATCAGGTAGGCAAAGTATTGGAGTTTCAGCATAAACAACAGTCCTTCCAATGAGCACTCAGTACTGATCTCCATTAGGATGGACTGGTTTGAACTCCTTGCAGTCCAAGGGACTCTCAAAAGTCTTCTCCAACACCATACTTCAAAAGCATGGCCCTCAGCTTTCTTTATAGTCCATCTCTCACATCCATACATGACTACTGGAAAAACCATAGCCTTGACTAGACGAACCTTTGTTGACAAAGTAATGTCTCTGCTTTGTAATGTGCTGTCTAGGTTGGTCATAACTTTCCTTTCACGGGATAAGTGTCTTTTAATTTCATGGCTATAGTCACCATCTGCAGTGATTTTGGAGCCCCCCAAAATAAAGTCAACCACTGTTTCCGTTGTTTCCCTGTCTATTTGCCATGAAGTGATGGGACAAGATGCCATGATCTTAGTTTTCTCCATGTTGAGTTTTAAGCCAACTTTTTCACTCTCTTCTTTCACTTTCATCAAGAGGCTCTTTAGTTCTTTGGATTTTTAGAAGTACCTATATACACATACTCCACACTGTTCCATAGAATTGCAAGTTACTCATTCCTTACCACTTGACATTACAGGGTATCAGAATCAACATTATGTCACTCTTCTTATTTCAACTACCATTTGAGTGTGGACTGACCTTAGAGATACTTTTTATGTGCGTCTGAATCTGGGCTGTCACTGATATGTGCATGGATAAGTTCTTTTACCCCAGTCAACATACAGAAAAAGACTAGTGGCATTCTCCTTCAAGAGTGTAAAATAAGAAATTCATAAAACTGCATAAATTAAGTCCTTCATTGTAAATATAGACTCAAGGACTCCAAAACCTTGGTGCTTCAAAGACTGTTTTAGGCATCTGGCTTAGAAAAGCATTTTGCTTAGTAAATCCATACTAAATCCTGTTACATTCTGGATTCATACCAATGAAGTATCCAGTAGCTGATTCCATTGCATCTGCTTGGGATTCTACATGGAAGCATTTTAAACTATTGGAGTTCTGTTCATGATTCAATTCAAACTTTCAAAGAACTACACTGGCCAAAATATAAAGAGTAACAATGACAGCTGAAGTTATTATGAATCTAATGCTATTCTAAGTGCTTTATAAATCTAGATTGAAAATACAACTATTTCCCCCATTGTACAGATGGAACAACCAAGGTTTGGTGAGTTCAGAAGTATCCCCAGAGTCCTGCTGTCTTCCTAATCCTTCCCAACCTACTATCCAAATCAATTTAGCCCCAACCTCCTATGACTTGCCACCTCCTATAGAAATGTGTTAACACCTTGATATACCTTTTGATCTTGCTCCCATATATACCCTTGCTCATTTTCCAGCAGCTTATACATTGAGAAAATGACCTATTTCACTCAGATTCATACCAAATTGGGCTCAGAGGGGAGTATATTGCACATGTGCGCTGTGCTAAGTTGCTTCAGTTGTGTCTGACTCTTTGAAACCCTATGGACTGTAGCCTGCCAGGCTCCCCTGTCCATGGGATTACCCAGGCAAGAATACTGGAGTGCGTTGCCATGACCTCTTCCAGGGGATCTTCCCTACCCAGGGGTCGAACCCTCATCTCTATGTCTCCTGCATTGGCAGGCAGGTTCTTTACCACTAGGACCACCTGGGAAGCTTGCCTTGAACATAATAGAATATTTCAAAGTCATTGTAAAGTTTTGTAAATTATTGATGTTAGAGAAGTACTTAGATTTGGGTATCCATCTTCTGAACAGCTAACAATTTTTGCTTCCAGGTTACCCAAGCAATGGTTCAACTCGAGTTGCCACAGGTAAAATATACATATTATAGTTAAAAACCAGAGTCCCCAACCAGCACACTTGGACATTAAGACAGTTTTTAATCTGGATTTTTGGAAATAATTTATGATTGTTTAGTCTTACTTTGACAAATACATCAATGAGTGGATACCTCCATTGTAAACTATTGTCGTAACTGCAGGAGTCATAAAAAGCAATTGAATACTCAGGCAATCTAGAAGCAAAACTCAATCTCTCACCATTTATTTTTTGATCATTTTAATTGGGTCAGTTATACCCACAGCCGTATTTGGCCTTTTATTCCAGATTTTCCATTATGCTTGCATGCTCAGTCATGTCTGACTCTTTGCAACCCCATGGACTGTAGCCCTCCAGCCTCCTCTGTCCATGGGATTTTCCAGGCAAGAATACTGGAGTGGATTGCCATTTCCTTCTCCAGGGGAACTTCTCAACCCAGGGATCAAACCCACGTCTCCTGCAATGGCAGGCAGGTTCTTTACCACTTTACCATGTGGGATTCTCTCCACTATGCTTACTAGAGATCAAAACGTCTGCTAGATTTAGTCTCAACTGGATATCAGATTGGCAACCACTGGCATGAACACACTTTGGACCTTGTTATCTTTCAGTTTATCTTTGACTTTATATACATAAATCTTGTAATTCTCTTCCATGATAGAAATCAAGAATATTTTCATTGTTTCACTAAAATATATTTTAAAAGTTTTACCAAGCACTCTTAATTTTTTTTTTTAACTTTCCCTAAATGTTTTGGCCCAGGGTCAGCAAAATGTTTCTGTAAGGATGAGATAGTAAATATTTTAGGCTTAAGAGGTTATAGATTTCTGTACAGCTATTCATCTTCACTGTTGTAGAGCAAAGCAGCTGATAGAGTATATAGAAATGAAAGGATATGACTGTATTGTAATACAATTTTATTTATAAAATAGGTCGTTGGGCTGGATTTGGTCCACAGGTCATAGTGCACTGGAGTATCCTTAGTCTGTATACTAACACGGATAGCCTGGATAATGATTTCAGCTTCACCTTTACCTGTGCTCTCCTGGGCTTTAACCCCATCTATCTTGATGGGGTTTTTTTATCCTGTCTTGATCTGCTTTCCTCACTTCTGTCTAGAGATCTCGGGGGCGGGGAATGTATGCTTATTGGAGCCATTCCACAGTTTTATTTTTAATATCTGCTTACTTCTCTGTTTGTCACTAGTTAACACTCTTTCCCATTCCTCCTCTAAACCTGCCATTAATCATCCTGGATAATGACAAGCTGTTCTTCAAAGGGGTTGAACCAATTTGCATGTCAGTAAGCTGTGACTGAGATTCTCATTGTTCCACATCCTTGCTGATATGGCAGACTTTTGATTCTCTGCCAGTTTAGTGGTTGTGAAACAGAGCCAGTGCATTCCACAGGTTCAGGGGGTGACAATTGGATTTAAGTGCATCAGAATGGTTCTTCCTGGAGTTGAGCAGTGGGTGATCCCTGAAGGGCTTGTATATATATAACAACCCCAGAATGAAGCCTATCTCAGTGCG